TGGACTGTATGAAGAAGAACACGGTATCAAGATTGGAGGAAGACTCATTAACACCCTGCCATATGCAGATGATACAACCTTGCTTGCTGAAAGTGAGGAGGACTTGAAGCACTTACTGATGAAGATCAAAGACTACAGCCTTCAGTATGGATTACTTTTCAATATAAAGAAAACAATCCTCACAACTGGACTAATAAGCAACATCATGATAAACGGAGAAAAGATTGAAGGTGTCAAGGATTTCATTTTACTTGGACCCATGATCAATGCCCATGGAAGCAGCAGTCAAGAACTCAAACGATGTATTGCATTGGGCAAATCTGCAAAAGACCTCTTTAAAGTCTTAAAAAGCAAAGATGTCACTTTGAGGGCTAAGGTGTGCCTGACCCAAGCCATAGTATTTTCAATCACCTCATATGCATGTCAAAGCTGGACAGTGAATAAGGAACACCAAAGAAGAATTGACGCCTTTGAATTATAGTGTTGGCGAAGAATATTGGACTGCCAGAAGGAAAACAAATCTGTCTTGGAAGAAGTACAGCTGGAATACTCCTTGGAAGCGAGCATGGTGAGACTTCATCTCACGTACTTTGGACACGTTATCAGGAGGGACCAGTCCCTGCAAAAGTAGAGGGTCAACAAAATAGAGGAAGACCCTTAATGAGATGGATTGATAACAGTGGCTGCAGCGATGGGTTCAAGCATAACAAAGATTACAAGGATGGCGCAGGACGCAGCAGTGTTTCGTTCTGTTATATGTAGGGTCGCTATGAGCCAGATCCGACTCAATGGCGCCTAACAACAACAACAATTTGTTAAGAGTTATTAAGAGGTAAGTTGATGAAACATACATTTCTTTAACAGACAAAACCATGACGCTGAATTTCTTTGTATGGCACAGAAGTAGAGAGCTTCTGAAGTTCTTGAGAAATAACAAGGAGGTTAAGTAAAACTTTATGTAAGCTAATCTGTATTCCCTTAAAACCAGTCACTTGCTCATCCCAACACTTTACTCAGCGATAGTTAGTCTTTCAAAATAATGGCCTAGGCGCGCGCGCGCGTGTGTGTGTGTGCGCGCGTGTCTGTCTTCAGATACCTTATGAGTATACATCCTTAGCTTCTTCCTATAATGTGGATTTACTAAAGGGCTGGTTTTCTGAAAACTCCAGATTACTTGAGGGTTCAGTTATCTAAGGGCTGTTTTTGAAAGCATCCAATTGTGTTGTCATAAGCACAATTATTACATGTCCCTGGGCATATTTTCCTTACCTTGAATGCTCAGTTTGCCCTCTCTTTCATTCTGTTTTTTGTTCCCTTCATCTTTCCCTCTCTCTCCCCTTCTCCTTCCTCCCCTTCCCCACCCCCCCGTCCTCTGTCCCTTTCTACCCCCTGCTTTTCTCCTGCCTGTCCCCCATCTCCCACAGTTCCCCACTCCAGTCCTCTCCCTCTCTCTCCCCCCCCCTTCCATTTTCATTATTACCCGTCTAGGGAGAATGCTTACCAGTAACCATTTCATGTGTAAGCATATCTTCTATTAATAACAATAATTAATATTTTAATATAAATGAAGATTGCTGATTGCAAAGATCTGCAACCCTGAAAGCTATCAAAGAACAATCGGCTTTATATTTCTTGGTAATGGGGGCTGTCTTGTTTGTGGTATCCCTCGTAGTAGTACTAGTAGTGATAGTAATAATGATAATAGTAACAATATGGATATTTTATTCTTATTATGGCTGACATTTATTGGCTATTTGCCACATGTCAGGGTTTGTTCTGCATAAGTGGTTCTCAGAGTGTGGTCCATTGACCCTTGGGGATTCCCAAGACTCTTTGAGGAGTCTGTAAGGTCAAAACTATTTTCATAATAATAGTAAGATGTCATTTGCCTTTTTCACTGTGTTGACATTTGCACTGATAATGCGAAAACAGTGGTGTGTAAGACTGCCGGCTCCTTAGCCGCAATCAAGGCAACAAGGCTAGTAGTCATTGTATTCTTTGCTGTGAGTACTCACAGTGTATGTGTGGGAGAGGGAGAAGGGGGCAGTTTTATTTTAGAATGTCCCTAATGAAGTCATAAAGGACTGGTTTTTCTGAACACATTAAAAATTATTTTATTAAATCTCGATCCTTGAGCGCACGTCCTTTTAACGGTGTGACCAGATCGGGAGTATACATAAAGCAGTTCCACATACTAAACAGGTTTGAGTTGCCATCTGAACTAGTCACTTTTCATAGACCATCATTTTTGTTTGGAAGAACAACTGGCAGATAAACTATGGCTATTCAGACGTGGGTGTTTGGCAGAAATCTTGAAAATGGATGAAGCCAGCCTGTAATTTCAAGGAAAAAACACCTGACTGGCTGTTGGTCCAGTAGAGAGTGCTATCCAGTGGGCAAAACAGATAGCTCTTCTTCAAGGGGCAGGAACTCCCAGGGGCCATCTATAATTAGAGAAAATAGTGCTTTGAACAACGATGAATTTTAGAATAGCAGAGCTGAACAACATTTTCCAAGATTGACCTGCTACAGAACCACTCATTTTACAGATTGGAAAAATAGAGCATAGATACTGAGCCATATCCTAGGTAATACTCTGCAAATGCGTGATTTATGGGCTACTCTTATATTTCATGGTATTTGAAATTTCTAAATATTTTTCATGTATATTTTTTCATCTGATCGTCAACAACTCTGTATATATAAAGCAGCTTAAAGATAAGGAAATTGAGACTCATAAAGAAGACAATTCTCTGAATGCACTTTATATTTTCCTGCCCTTTCAGCTATTATCTCTGAGGACCTGAAATAAGGCAATGCAAATAGAAAAGAGATAGAATGTATGAAACTTGGTGTCTTCGTTACTGTCTTAGGCTGGTCTCTGTAAAGAAGCAAAACCAGTGAAGCAAATATATATAGATAGATAGTTACACACATTTACAGCAGCAAATATATATATATATATATATAAAGATTTTATGTCAAGGAAATGGCTCATGTGGTTGTGGAGGCTGGCAAGTCCCAAATCTGTGAGTCAGGCGTCGGGCTGGAGACTTCTCCTGACTCCCGTAGTTGCAGGGCCTGACAAATCCCAACTCGGCAGGTCAGACAACAGGCACCTGGCCCCGGGGGCTGTGGCGGCTGGAGAAAGAGGTCAAGCGGAGAATTGCTGCTGGCACACAGGGCTGCAGAAGCTGGCGAATGAGGTCAGATGGCAGGCTGCTGGCTCACAGGGCTGGGGAAGTGCTGAATCGGATCATCAAACGACTGTATACTGAATTGAGAGAGAAGGACTGGTGAGCTGATGACAAGCCGCGCAAAGGATCCAGAGCGAAACACGAGTAAGACTATGACTTGAGTAAGGCTGTGACTTAAATCATGCCCTTTAGTAAGGGTGTGATTCAAGATACATCCCACACTAATCCTGCCTCCTTAACATACAGAAGTTTAGGGTTTAGAAAACACAATTACACAGTACAACAAAATGGAGGACAGTTACACAATACTGGGAATCATGACCTAGCCAAGTTGACATGTAACATTAACCATCACAGTTACCTAATGCTGCTGTAACAAAAATCCCACAAGTGGGTGGCTTTAAAGAGCATGAATTTATTGTCTCATAATTTTGGAGACTAGACGTCCAAATTCTGGACATCGGCTCTAGGGGAGGGTCCTTTCTTTTCAGTAACCCCCGTAGTTCCTTGGCATTCCTTGGCTTCCAGATACATCTGTCTCCATCGTCTGTCTTTCCCGTGTGTGTGTGTCTGTTTCTCTTCTCTTTTTGTAACATACCCCACTCTGGTATGGCCTCACTAACATGACAAAAGAAAATCCTATTTTTAATCAGGATCATATTTACAGGTACAGGGGTTAAGACTTCAACACACATTTTGGGGAGAGGGCATAATTCAGTCCATAACACTTGGCAGCTAACTAGATAGCAAAACAGTGAAAGATATGGAGGAGCCAGGGGATTTCCTGAATGGTACCCTGGGAGGGTACTATTAATTGAGAAAAGAAAAACAGAAAAGGAATAGATTCAGTCAACAAATGTTTACTGAATGCCTTTTCATTGGCACAATTGCAGTCTGCTTTGGAGGATTCTTACGATGTGGACTCTATGCCTTTGGAGATTATTTGGGAAGATATGGCATGTATGCCAGTAATGATGCTACAAGAGAAAACGTGATAAATGCCTTAGGAAAGGCTCGGTTCAAGTCCTGTAGCTGTTAGAGGTGGGAAGGAATTCTGGGTTCAGGGAAAATTTTTATAGAAGAGGAAGTGTTTGAAAGGGGTTTTGCAAAATGGTGAAATTTGAATGTGCAGATGACTATGAGGAGACCAGGAGAGTTCAGTTAAAGAAAAAAGTATGAGAACACAGTGTGGAAGGAATAATATCAGAGCCAGAGGCTGCTAAGAATATAGCATGTATGTAGGCAAATAATGAGAAATTATTACTATTGGAAATAGTTATTCCAATAAATTATTGGAAATGTTGGCCACAGAGCCTGAAAATACTAAATACTGTAATGCTGCATACATAGCCAGTTTTCCAATTTTTTTGGTTCACTTTTTGAAATGATACTTGCCAAACAAATGTCCTTTTAAATACAACCTAGTCCTTTCTTTGCAGATAAAATTTCTTCATTTTTGATTGATTAGAGTAAAGATTTCAAATTCAGATAAAATAATTTATCTTCTCAGGTGTTGGTTTATAGCTTTAGAGAACAATTGTGCCAAATATTTTATCATGATTTTACTTTTTTGAATCTGCAGTGGCTTATTTAAACCTGTAGTCTTTAGATAACTTTGTTCTCTTTACACTCAGAAATTCTGTCTATCCTTTAAACTGCATTTTCATCTGAACTTCATCTTTTTGTCTATCCTCAAATAGCTTAGTTTTGTCTTTGGGATGTTTCTTCTCCTTTGGCATTAGTGTTTGTTATTATTCATTACATAATTAATTTGACTGGATATTTATTATTGTTTTTCCCTAGATAAGTCAGATAAATATGATCCACGTGATGTTGAAAGACTACAGCAAGATGATAACTGGGTTGAAAGTTACTTATCTTGGAGACACGATGTCATAGATGAAACACTGAAGATGCTTGATGAGAGTTTTCAGTGGAGGAAAGAATTTGCTGTCAATGGTAAGCTATTCAGTTTAACTGTGACAGTATAATATCTCCTGCCTAAGTGTTACTGTTTTATCTTCATCTTTTATATTGATCTAAGTGTCTATTTGCAGATCTACTTGGCAGTCATTGTAAACACCAGAACGTAATTTTTCATAAAGCTCAAATAATAATTTCAAAGGAGCTTCTTTTTAGTCTTACATTCATAAGGAAATCACATCACCAGGGAGCAGAGCAGAGTCTCCTAATCTGTGCTTGGATAGTTCAGAACCATTAAACAATAGCAAAACAGTATCTTTGTGGAATCGGCCCCTGACTCATGGTGCCCCCATACACAGTGGAACAAAATGCTGCTCAGTCCTGTGCTATCCCCATGATCGGCTGCAGATCAGACCATCGTGAGCCGTGGAGTTTTCATTGGCTGATTTTCAGAAGTAGATTGCCAGGCATTTCTTCCTAGTCTGTCTTAGTCTGGAAGCTCCACTGGAATCTGTTTGCATCATAGCACATGCAAGCCTTCGCTGTCAGACTAGTGGTGGCTGCACTTGAGGTGCATTGGCCAGAAATCAAACCTGGGTCTCCTGCATGGAATGCGAGAATTCTACGAGTGAACCATCATGCCCCCATAGGACTAAAGATAAGGAGATACTATTTTCCTATTTTTCTTAGTTGTTGCCTTATGTCTTTCTCTATTCCCAGATTGCCTTGTGCTGATAGGTGCTCCATATGTAATTGCTAAATGAATGAGGGTCCCAAAGAAGTAAGCTTATCCTCAAGGATGCCTATGGCAACCTTCTCTTAACTTCTTAATTTCCAGCCTACCACTAGATTGAAATATTTCTCAAGTTTCATCAGGGCTTAATTAGTGATCCTTAGCCACCTCTTTGTTTGATCTCATTACTTGTCAAAAACAGGAGTTTTAAATCTTAGAAGAAGTTTTATGATAGCCTTCAAGTATAAGAGAACTCTTAACAGGAAAAGGTTACCTGTTACCTCGCTAGTCCTAAAATTTTAATGAGAAGAAGCTGTGTTAACTACTGATGTACATTATGTATACGGAAGGATCCTCTGCCCTTGCGATTATAAACTCTGGACTGATTGAGTCTGGTGACTTAATACAAAACAGTCAACAAATAAATCTACAACAGAAACTTTCCCCATGAGACGGGGAGTATTTAAGAAATAATTTGATTAGAAATGTAAACACTGTAGGCAATTCTAAAAAACGGTGAAGTATTTGTTAATCAAGCAAAGAAGTAGAAATCTGACATTCCTAAATCATTTAAGTACTGAATAAACCCTTAAACACCACAATAATTGTTTTCTTACATAGTTGCTAGTTTCTGTTAGCAGACAATGGAAATATGATAAAAGAGGGGTGAGAAAAGAAAAAGACATTTTTTAAAGTTCTTGAGGAACTATCAGTGAAGGAAACCAAAGCCTTAGCATTTTAGCATTTGCTGACTAGCTGTATGTTGGTCCTCGACCTCATTCCAGACTAGGCAGGCCCTTTCTTGTTCTTTCTGCTAAAGGATCTAGTATTTTTCTTGAATTATTTTCCACTTGCCCCAAGGTTATAAAATGTCTTAGATTCTACTGGATGTTGAACTTTCTAAAAACAAATACTATTTTTTACTAGAGAAAACACCATGTTGTCCTCCCTCCCCCATTAATTCTGAGACTGTAATATGGACATTTACTGGCATGTTATAAGTTGAACAGTGATAATGATATTTGTAAGTCATTGCATGAAACACAACCAAGGTTTGATTATTGAAATGTATCCACATAAAATAATGGCCGACATGGTAAGGGACATGGATTTTTTTCCATTTCTTTTACTTATGCCTTTATGTAGTTTGTTTATGTAGTAAAGACCATTTCTTATCGCCAAGGTTCTTTTCAGATGTTTAAATAAGCTTTTGCTTTTTTATATCAAAACTACTATACAGTCGGCCCTTTGTATCCATGGGTTCCGCATCTGTGGATTCAACCCACTGCCGATTGAAAATATTTGGGGAAAAAAGTTCCAAAAAGCAAAACTTGGATTTGCCATGCACCAAGCACTGAATCCAAGCAAGTAAAGTAACGTGTCGGCACACCCTGCTGTAGCCTCCTGCCGTTTCACAGATCTTCAGTCTTGTTCACCTCATGTCTTGTCATTATTCCCTAAACAATACAGTATGATGACTATTTACATAGCATTTGCATTGTATTAGGTATTATAAGTAATCTAGAGGTGATTTAAAGTATATGGGAGGACATGCATAGGTTACATGCAAATACTGCGCCATTTGATATAAGCGACTTGAACATCCTGGGATTTTGGTACCTGCTGGGGCTCCTGGAACCAATCCTCCGTGGATACCGAGGGACGACTGTATAACCTTGCCTTACTATTGTGAATTTTCTTTTTAAGCCCCTAAATTACAATTACTGATCAGAGTTTATCACTTTTTAGACCTGAGTGAGTCCTCCATTCCCAGAAGGTTATTAGAAATTGGTGGTATTTATCTCCATGGTTATGACAAAGAAGGGAACAAATTGTGTAAGTATGTTTAATTTATGTACTGGCTTTTCAAGAGTCTCAGATGTCGTTATCTAGCTCAACTGGATTAATAATAAGCAGAATTGTCTTTCTCCAAATGCAGTGCACATCAAGTTTCCTACAATTGGGAATAGTTAGAGCCGTCTTGACCAAATACCAATTTTTAGTAGTTGTATGTACTGTTTACATTACAACAAAGAAGGCAGTAAAGGCAAATGCTACATCCTATAGCACAGCCAAAATAATTAAATTTGGAATTATTATCTTCCTTCTAATTTGACTGATGTTAAAATGCAACCCAGTATTTTTATGGCAAATCTTTTGGACAGTTGCTAAATGGAGTTTTTCCTTTGTAAGTTTCCCAGTCTTCTCCCCTTAGCTTTTTCCTAAATTGATATATTAGTGAGAGGAACAGTAACACTCATCTCTGTTGGTCAGATAACTCCCTTGTTACCCTTCTGTGGTCCCTTGCCCAAAATCCAGCTTGGTTTTGTCTGAAGGACTTGGCAGAGAGTTAGAGCCCCACGCTGAAGAAATGTTCTGACAAGTTACTTTTGTACACATTCTGCACTCTTCTTGCTTGCCCTCTATGTAGCATGTGAGCTGTTCTGTTATGACAATAAATCTTTGTATTTTCCTTTTATCACTGGCTCCTCCTTCTCAATCTTCTTTTCTCTTTCCTCATATTCCACCTGTGCCTTAAACATGTGTTTCCCAGGGTTCATTCATTTCCTTGGCCTCTTTTATTTTCCAGTTGGCACAGTCTCCTTGGGTGATGCACAGTGATGACCCCACACTACCTCCAGGCCATGTAGACACATCCAGCTGTCCAGTGACTACCAGCCTCCTTCTACACAACATATGTCGAACATCCGCATACCAACACCGGGCCCCTCTCTGCAGTTCCCAGCTCAGGCCCACAGTAGATAGATACCAGAGGCTCATTGTTGGCTCTTCCCTCTAATATAGCCTAATTTAGCCCCTTCTCTATTTTTACCAGCCACTTCCTAAGTTCAGTCCCTAGTCTCCTCACAACCGCCTGTCCCCACCCCTTCTCAGCTAATGGACTGTTGAGTTTCTTTCTAAGCCTCTTCCAAACTACCCTCTAAGCCACTGCCGGAGAGGTCTTTTAAAAATACTTACCCAGTCATGCCACCGCACAGCCTAAAATCATTAAGTGTCATTGCATCTCTTTTAGGAAAATCAAAATCCCTCAGCATTTCATTGAGAGTCCTTCAAGCCCGGCCCTTTCTCTCTATTTAGTGTCTCCTCTCACCACTCTTCCTATTCGGTCTTAGCAGCCACCACACTGGACTGTTTGCCGTTCTCTGCCCATAGGCACGACCCCCCGCTCATGCCTCCCTCCTGCTTATGTTCTGTGCCTTTTCACCGGGTGGAGCATTATTTCTAGTGCTTGATGGAAACAATGGTTTTCTTGTTCAATAAGCAGAATAAAGAGTACTTTTAGGTTATTAGCAAATACTGTTTGCTCCACTGTGTTTTCTTTTTCCCTTACTTACTAGTAATACTTGTATATTTCCAATGGAAAAAAAATAGTTTACCTTTTGACTATTCTTTAAGGTTCCCATGTGCCCACCATTTCTGATTTAAAAGAAGGAAGAGATGTTTTTAATCTGAGAAGTAAAATGAATTATAAATGAAGAAAAATGTCAAAGGAAAGGAATTGTATATATATGTGTATACGTATAAGGAGCCCTGGTGGTGCAGTGGTTAAGCAGCTGCAACCAAAAGGTCGATGGCTTGAACCCACTAACCTCTCTGTGGGAGAAAGATGTGGCAGTCTGCTTCTGTAAAGATTACAGCCTTGGAAACACTATGGGGCAGTTCTACTCTGTCCTATAGGGTTGCTATGAGTCTGAATCAACTCGAGAGCAACAGGTTTGGTTTTTTGGTTTGGGGTGTGTGTGCCAAAAGGCCACATCCCTGAAAGCCCTATGGTACAGAGTAGTCTGCACACACGGGGTCACCATGAGTCAGAATCGACTCGACGGCATCTAACAACAACGTGTGTGTGTGTGTGTGTATAATTTTCTTATTCTTATCTTTTATTTTTATCTTTTTGTTCTGCTTAAAGTCTGGATCAGGGTGAAATATCATATAAAAGACAGCAAAACTGCATTGGACAAAAAGAAGCTTATAGCATTTTGGTTGGAACGTTATGCTAAAAGAGAAAACGGGAAACCTATTACAGTGATGTTTGATCTGTCGGAAACTGGAATAAATAACATAGTAAGCATTTTTCATTGACATCATAATTGTAATTCTAAATCATTGTTTATTATGGCTTCCTCCTCCTCTCCTCATCCTCCCTTTCACCCCCGAACCAAATATTGCTATAAAATTGAGATAACTAACTTGTACTGGGGATTGATTTTTTTTTTCCCCTGAATTGTAATTAAAGTTAAACATGGAATAAGGTTTCAAAGAATGAAATGTGCTTCAGTATTTGGCATTGAAGTTGTAGATTTCCTAGACATGCTCCTGGTCTGATTACACAGGATATAGAGGGAGAAGCTGGCAGGATAGTGAGTAGATGATCACAGAAAACTTTGGTAGCAAAGCTAATATCCTACAGCCCCTGAATGCTCAGTAAATGTTGAGTAAATTAACGCGTGATCTAGATTGTTTACTTATATTCATTCCATATTTTACAGTTGCAGGGTGTCCACATGAGTCGTACAGTTGCAAGATGCTCATATGAGTTTTACCCATACAGAACTTTGTGATTTTGTTAGTTACTTTTTGTTTGTTTGGATTTGTTTATTTGTTTGTTTGTTTGGTTTAGTTAACTTGAAGCCAGCTTTTCTTCAGGTGACTTTGCCAAGCTGAATCGACTTGACGGCAGCAGGTTTACCAGTCTTTAATTGGGCCCTTGGGACCTTATTAAGGTCCTTGGGTGGTGCACTAGGTTTGCACTTGGCTACTAACCTAAAGGTTGGCGGTTCGCACCCACTAAGGGGCACTGTGACAGAAAGGCCTGGCGATCTGCTTCCATAAAAATTACAGCCAAGAAAATCCTATGGAGGAGTTCTACCCTGTAAACACATGGGTTGCCTGCCACGAGTCGGCATCGACTCAGTGGCAACGGGTTTTTGGTCTGGTGACCTTAGTGATATCTACAACCCTTCCAGCAGCAACTGAGGTCATTTGGCACATTTTTTATAGCTGTCATCTCTTAAATTTTAACTTTGGCTAATTCTGGTAGGAGAGAAGTAGGCAGTCACAGACTTGCTAAGGGCAGTGTTGATAACGTTTTGAAAATCCATTTGGCAAAGTATGTTAAGAACCTTAAGGTGTGCATATCCATACTCTTTGCCTGGTAACTAACTTCTGCAAATCTATCCTAAAGAAATAGTCCTGAGTACAGAAAAAGCATTGTGTGCACCGAAATATTTTTTCAGAATGTCATTTAAAATGGGAAAAAATTAGAAAAAATGTAAATGTTCAACACAGTGAAATGGTAAATTATGGTATATCTAATAGATGGAATGAAGGAGCCCTGGTGGTGCAGTGGTTAAAGTGCTCAGCTGGCAACCAAAAGGTTGACAATTCGAACCCACCAGCCGCTCTGGGGGAGAAAGATGTGGCAGTCTGCTTCCATAAAGATTACAGCCTTGGAAACCCTATGGGGCACTTCTGCTCTGCCCTGTAGGGTCTCTATGAGTCAGAATTGACTCGACGGTGGTAGGTTTGGTTTTGGAATCGATGGAATATGTGTAGTTAAGTAAAATGTTGTTTAAATTTGTAATAATAATAGAAAGTACCTTTTTAAAAATGAAAAAAAGCTACAAGATTATATCTTAGTGATACTTAGCCCAAAAAAGGGAAACCTCAGGTATTTTAAAAAACAAAAAAACTAGAGAGAAAGGTTAACCAGAATCTTTTCGGGTACTGAAACCACAGGTTTTTTGTTGTTCATCTTTCTATTTCCCTTTAAGAGTCCTAGGCCCTGAATTTTTTAAACCTAGTTTCTGTTTCAGCAAGTTTTAGATAACAGAGTAAATCACTTTACACCCAAAATCAAAATGCCTAGATAAATAAATATTGGTGTAGAAAGGTATACATTTCCATAAAAAGAAATCATGATTGTTATCTTTGGGTATGATCATTTTCTAAGTATTAACCAGAATCATGAAACTAAATGTTAGTGTTAATTATTGTCAAATATAGGGGCAGAGAATCAACTTGAGCTTTCTGATTTTTTTAAGCTACTTAAATATATCTTTAATTTGTAAATAAGATTTATTTGCATTGTTGTTGTTAGTTGCATTACTAGCTATTTAAATCATTATTGATGTTGTAAAATACTTGAATGTTACTGGTTTTTTTAATATTATTTATTTTTATATAGAACCCTATCATGATTCACAAAGGATTTCAGTCTGCTTATGAAGATATATACAGGATTTTAAGGCCATAAATTTTTTACAAAAACATGTTAGAATTGAGTCACCAATTTGGCTTTAAGCTTTTCAGCTGCCTGCCTGGGGAAAAGGCAATCATTTAAAATTACTCAGTGGTCATACTGTAAAACCAGAGTTTTAGGAGAAGCACATCTATTCCTAATACTTAAACCAGAGAGAAGTGTCTTTCATGGGTTCTCAAAGAGAGCACATTTTATAAGCAAATGAATAATGTCCTCAAAAACACATCCTTCCAGAATGTAGAGCCATAGGCTTCAATGAGCTGTTGTATGCAGTAACCGCTAACATTTGTACACCCGTGACATCCTATCAACTTCACTTGAATTAGCAGTAACTGGAGATTATATGGGAGCCCTGGTTGCACAGTGGTTAAGAGCTCAGCTGCTAACCGAAAGGTCGGCAGTACGAATCTACCAGCTACTCCTTGGAACCCCTATGGGACAGTTCTACTCTGTCCTATAGGGTCGCTATGAGTCGGAATCGGCTTGACATTAACAGGTTTGTGAGTGTGTGTGTGTGTGTGTTTTGTTTTTTGTTTTTTTTTTTTTTTTTTTTGAGATTCTATGAGCACAGATATTCCATGTAATAAAAGATGCGAACAAGGATATTGGACAAAGAGTTTTTAGGCATAGTGTCTGGGAACCACAGTTTATAAACTGGGTAACCCAAATTTTTGTATACCTCTAGTTATTTTCAGATATTTTCTTTGACTGTTACTTAACTACAATTTATTGAACTCTGTGGACAGTGGAAATAATGATTAGTTATAAAGGTGTAATTATATACTAAGATTTATCCCATATAATAAGTACTTCAAATAGCTAAGGACACTTCCTTTCAGTTTACTGCAGTTAAAGATGCTGCAACTCACAACGTTAGGGATGACTTCATTGGTTCACATCTCTAGAACAACCCAACTCTCACTAATAGTGATGGATCTGAGTTTGCTTGGTTCTATCTGTCATCCCACAGTCTTTATCAGATGGCTGATCAGGATTAGTGAATCAGCCTGTGTCCATGGAATAAAAGGAAATGAAACAATCCACCTGAAAATAACCCTAAGAAGCTGATTTCACGTTGCTTTGGTCGCCATGAGTCGGAATCAACTTGGCAGCGCACGACAAACAAACAAAAAATGCTCAGAGCAGTAGAACTACCTAGACAGCTATGTTTATAATGTCTCCCAGAAATTGGAATAGACAAACAACACTTGCATGAATATAAACTAGAAAACTAATTCTAGTCCCTACACAAAGAAGTTTGGGAAGCCAGGAGTGGAGTAGATACACCAGGTAGTCAGCCAGTGTGATCATGTTAACGGTTGTGTACAAGATTAATAAAATATATTTTATTGACACTATTATGAGGTTTAAAAATTAAGTTTAAAAAGTAAATATATCAGCCTTTATATCCATATGTATTATCATTCCAAGTAGTTTGCTTTATACTTGTTTTCAGTAATTCTTTAATTGCTCAATAGATTTTTGGAATTTCTCTTTGGGGATTGCTGTTAGATTCATTTTATAACGCCACATTGCCTTAGTTACCTGAAGCACGTGACTGGTTTGAGGTAACGTGAATGATGTTAAAGTATCAACAAGCATCTGAGTTCTTTAGCTCAGTTTTTGGGGATTTTTATAGTAGCTTGGTGACTTAAAGTCTTAATCTGTAAGAATATAAATATATAGGAGCTGATTTTTTGAAATATTTCATAATTGTCGCATTTGGATTTAATAATTTATCACCTTTATAAAATGTGCTATTTAAAGTTCTCTAATGTGGGCAGTCTTAAAAATTTTAATGTATAATCTTTATTTTAGGACATGGACTTTGTACGCTTTATCATCAACTGCTTTAAGGTTTATTATCCTAAATACCTCTGTAAGTAACTTACTTCTTTATAAAAATATAACATATAGAAACTATAGACAATGTCTGAAAATTATGGAGCCTTATATTGTTACAGACTTTTCATACCTGAAACATTGTTTTCTGATGAAGTGTTTTAAATGTGTTCATATGAGTCTAAGTGTAATTCCTCATAGGTACAGGGAAAGAAAAATTCTTCATAAATAATCATTATCCTTTACAGCTAATTTTAAGAGTGTAAGTTCTAAACTGTACATATGGTGTACTATATAACTCACACACAGACACACACCACACGGACATAAAAGCATACATGTTCAGGATTACCCTGTTTTACTAATTTAGAAACTTATTTATTTAAATGAGATTTATGATGTGGAACTTCTTGGGTACAGGAACAGATAAGCAGTATTGATAAAGTACGTTGCATGAGACACTGTTACTAATTGCTATTTTAAAAGGTGCCATTAAGAAAACAGTTGGCTAGAAGGCACTACATTTGAATCTGGCATTTGAAGTTCAGTTTTTGGTGTTTTGTCTTGTTTTGTTTTGTTTTGTTTTGTTTTGTTTTGTTTTGTTAATTGTGAGTCTCATTAATTACCTGAATGAAGATCTCCTAAACATGATATATTCATTTTTTATTTGTTGGATTTATATGATGATTATTCCCCCGAGAAATGACTGTACCACCCTATATAGATGGTCACATATATTTAACCACAGTGGGTTGAAAGGGAAAGGACAGGAGAGAAACTGCAGACATCAGAAAATGGAAAAGTTGCAGGTTCACGCGAGCAATCCCCTGGCAAATACCACAATTAGAGTCTTTTGGGACTCATGACCCTGTGATGACACTAGAGCATAAAATCCCCCAGTCATCTTACTTTGGGCATGCTGTTGCATTATTAATATTAATGTGAAGTGAGGAGCCGACCAAAAGCATGCCCTGTACTCACATCTCTTCAGAGAGTATAGGTGAATATTTTTAGGTAAAGAGAATGGCCAAGCTAACTGGCATCCAGTCTGGGGAACCTGTAGAATCTGCTGTTCCTTATGAGTTCTTCCTTTGTCTGATGTACCCAGATTCATTCAGGCATGCTGAGCAGTACCAGTTAGTGGTCAGTAGGAAATCACTTCTCCATATTATTAGCCTTATTGTTTTTCTTCTTTACAAAATGAAAATATCGATTGTTTATTGAAATATCTAAAGGAGTTTGGGATGAACCACTTATAAATAGTATAAATATCATTATAGAACACATCCAAGATCCTTTGAGAAAACTATTAGTAAATTCATGGGGTATATAGAAAATAAATTGGAATGCTGTTAATTTCAATTGTTGGTATTGTTAGGTGCTGTTGGGTTGGTTCTGACTCATAGCAACCCTGTGTACAACAGAATGAAACGCTGCCCGGTCCTGCACTACCTTCACAATCATTGTTATGCTTGAGCCCATTGTTGCAGCCACTGTGTCAGTCCATCTCATTGAGGGTCTTCCTCTTTTTCTCCGATGCATGATGTCCTTCTCCAGGGACTGTTCCCTCCTAATAACATGCCCAAAGTAGGTGAGACAAAATCTTGCCATCCTTGCTTCTAAGGAGCATTCTGTCTGCACTTCTTCCAAGACAGATTAATTCTTTCTTCTGGCAGTCTGGTATATTCAGTATTCTTCGCCAGCACCATAATTTTAGTTAACTAGAAATAATATATATATCCCCCCTACATAATGTAGTTTAGCAGACAGAAGAATCTTAAATTGATTGTGCTTCAAAATCTGTCATGAAATATAAATATTATGCCTTAAAATCTTGAGCCCAGATCTTTTTCAGCATACCTCAGGTGAAGACTGAGATATTAAGCCCCAGGGTACCTCTTTGCAGATAATGTGTTCATTACACATACTTTACTTTTCTACATTAATATAAACACTCTAGGAGGTTCACTGCTCAGAGAAGAATAAAATTACAGTTTGATTCATCTGCAATAGAAGAATGAATTGGATATCACAGATCTTTGTGGTTTCTTGTTCTTTCTCACAGTTGTTAACAGGGCTGTTTAATATCTTCATCTCAGTATACAAATAATACTTCTGTATACTTTGGAATTATTGGCTTCCTAGAGCTCATAATATTAAGAAAAGTAAAAATAATTTTTGTTCCTTAAAACATGAGTCATTTATTAAAAAGGGAGGGGGGCAACTGTGAGAGTGGTTTAACAGTTATCTCTAGAAAATTATAATTGAAGCCATAAATTAGCCTCGGAAATCATTGTTAACATTTGCTGGTCTTCAGCAGTAACATGACATGCCACATCCAAAGACTCCGCTTGCCCTCTCAACTCTTCCTTCATACTTTTCTGCAAACGAAAGCAGTATATTTGACAGACTGTCAAAGGACAGTGATAGTATTCATTTTCCACAAGCAGTCATCCTGGGTGGGCCCCTGACTATTCTGAGGTGTTCTGTCCTAGCACCATTCATGCTTTACTGAATTAGAATTCAGTCAACCAGCTTTATTTTTAGTTACATCTAGGTGTCCATTTTTTCTAGGCCAGGGATAAGTAATATGACTATAGAGGTACTACGTCACATCCAGTGAATTTTCTTTTTTTTGTCTTTCAGCAAAGTTGGTAATCTTTGATATGCCTTGGATAATGAATGGTGAGTTTATTGTTTATACTTTCCTAAAATGAAGTGTTTGTTTTTGTTTTTTCTTTGCTAATCTAGCCATATTTCTGTAGTTTTTTAAAAAAGCTTATATTGTACTTGGCATGCACTCATGGAGTCTGGAGCTAGAACACCCATAGGCTGTTCCTAAAAAACTTGGCTAACATTCTCTCCCCAGGCTCAGGGGGTGCCCACTAGTGTTCTCTAACAACAGCCTCAAAATATACAACCAATCAGGTAAAACTATGATAAGAAGCCTCAGTTGTCACCCACAATTAGGATATGTGATAGAACACAGGCGCTGGCTAGATTTTTCTCATGGGCTTCAGATGTTGAGGTGGCAGGTTAGATGAATCTGAAATTTACCCCAAATTACTGTAGTCACATGATCCTTATGACAGTCGTGATATATTTTCTAATTTAAAAAAAGAAAATGTCATTGAAACACACTATTTACCAACTTTAAAGTGATTGTAAGTGTAATGGTACATTCAGAATGGGCATTTTCATTTTTGCTTGCACAAGTCAAAATTATTAAATAGAAAAACAATAGAATCAACAAAACTAAACGTTGGCTCTTTGAAAAGATCAGCAAAATTGACACACACTTAGCTAAACTGACCAAGAGAAAAAAGAAGACTCAAATTACTAAAATCAGGAATGAAAAAAAGGACATCACTACCTTCTTTATTTTACAGAAATAAAAAGGATTATAGGGGAATACTGTGAACAGTTGTACACCAACAAATTAGATAACCTAGATGAAACGGGCACCTTTTTAGGAACACACAAACTACCAAAAGATGACTTACGAAAAAATAGAAAATCTCAACAGACTATAACAAAGATATCGAATCAGTAATAAAAAAATTCCAACAAAGAAAAGTCTTGGACCAGACTGCTTCACTGGTGAATTCTTCCAAATGTTTAGACAATTAACACCAATCCTCAAACTCTTCCAAAAAATAGAAGAGGAGGGAATACTTCCTGATTCATTCTGTGACACCACAATTATACCAATATCAAAGCCAGACACAGACATCACAAGAAAAGTAAAAGATCAGTATCCCTCATAAATATATATGCAAAAAGTCCTCAACAAGTTCCGGCAAAATGGCGCTCTAGGCAGAAGCACCATGCCGTCCCTTCACAGCAAAGATCCGAAAAACTAAGCTGAACAGAGAATACAACAATCCTGAAACCCTAAAACGTCAAATGAAGAGGTAAAGAACTCAGCCAAGCACCAACTGGAGTGAGAAAACTGACTGAGAACGGAGAGCAAGGAGACATTCATGCAGAGATACCCTACCAGCTAACGCAGCACGGATCTGCCATCTTGAACTCCTCTCAGAGACCAGCAAAAGGCATATGAGAAAGCAGCCTCACAGAGCTTCCAGTGGGAGACAAAACAACTGGTAATTGGCAATATACGCTTTCCCACCCCCCACCCTTCTTCACCCCGACTCGGCCTCCTCTGCTTCCCGCAGGCACAGTCTCTTGACCGGGAAACAGCGGCTGCTTGGATTCCACACACCTGAATAGGTGGCTCTCTGAGTGCCATTTGTTGGCTGCTGGTGTTGCTTTTTTTCCACTTCTTTTTATTTCTTCTTTGCCTCTCCCCACCTCCCCCTCCTTTCGCTCAAGTAGCTCGCTCCGTGCGCCATCTTCTTCCTGAGGGGCTGCAGAGCTCTGGTAATTTGTGATATACGCTTTCCCACTCTCTACCCTTCTTCACCCACACTCGGCCCCCTTTGCTTCCCACAGACACAGTCTCTTGTCCAGAAACAACAGCCCGCACT